ATTGTACATGGTACAATGCACAATGTACAATGTACAATGTACAATGTACAATCAGTCATGCTATGGAATTCATGGTGATTAAAGTGTGTCATGTTGTCAGCTCCATCCTTGGTAAGGGGTTAATATGATTGACTAGTCACGTGTCAGGATAGTTCACGACCCTATTTTATAAAATAACACAATTAATTATCATACCTGGTCATTTCAATGTCTTTCATCTGGAGATGGTTGTCTAGACTTGCAATTATTTGGGAAGACAAAACGCATATCTGTAACTCAGATATGCGTTCTCCATCTTTACACTCATATCTTATATGTTATAATATTGTAGTATCAGGACTGTGTGGTCTCTCTTGTTGTTAGAAACTTCTAGATGGCTACACTTCTAGAACACTGATATAACCTCTAATTGGAACACGTGCTCTCTAATAAGCTAATCGGTACACACAGTAAATGAAGCATACTGCGTGATATATAACACTCATTTATCAATACCGACTGAACTGTAATCATTTTTTCTAGAGCCAGTGCTTAAAGAAATATTGATTCAATTATCGATTATCGTAATGTGCAACTCACCCAAATATGAACAGCAACTTCCAGAATTCTTCACTATCGATATTTTCCAGAATTCTCTTCTATCAATACCGTAAAATTTGTTAGACCAACTCTAAACTGGTGATCAAAATAATAGGTCGATAATCAGCCTTAGTACAGTCAAATCCGTCCTTATTTGAGCCTTTGTCGGACAAAATTCGCAACAAAGTGATTTTAACGGGATATGGTCGGGACAGGTCCCAGGAATCATTCCAGAAAAGTCCCAAAAAATCTGACTTGAGCAAAATCCACAATTACCACTTTTTTACCACCTTTTTACCACTTTGGTTTTCCGCAAATAAGTCACGTTCTGAATATCTTAGAAGATTCTAGTTTAAAGCAGTGTGTTTAGGAAACAAAGGAGAACAACTTTTTAGTTAACAACTTTTTCAAAAATAAATTATTTAATTAATTAATTAAATAATTAATAAATTTTCAAATATTTAAAAAATATATTCTCATAAAAAATGTTCACAATTAAATTCCACGTATATTGAACTAATTCTTATAAAAAATTTGAAAATTTTCACTTTCAATATTTTGGACTTGTAAAATTTGTAAAGAATAACTAAACCACTATTTACCACTTTTTACCACATTGGATCTCCGCTAATAAAACGACTTCTGAATGTCGTAGAAGGTTCTAGATTGAACCGATGTGTTCAAAATATAAAAGAGAACAACTTTTATTCGCCAACCTTTGGATTAGATAATTAATCGATTAATTAATTAGATGATAAGTAAATTTGTAAAGAATAACTAAACCACTATTTACCACTTTTTACCACATTGGATCTCCGCTAATAAAACGACTTCTGAATGTCGTAGAAGGTTCTAGATTGAACCGATGTGTTCAAAATATAAAAGAGAACAACTTTTATTCGCCAACCTTTGGATTAGATAATTAATCGATTAATTAATTAGATGATAAGTAAATTTTTAAAAATTTCAAAAATATAATTTTTACCAAAAATCTTTGCCGTGACGTAAAACGTAAAATGAATTTACTTGAATAATAGAACAAACACCGTCACATAGATTAGATAACAGATAAAAAGAGATGCAGATAAATGGAATAAACGGTAAAATATCCAAATTTGTACGATACTATTAATATTATATTATAGATAATAACTATTTACACATCATCTCTCGACTTAGTGTTGTGCTTTTAAACTAGATTGTTAAACTGGTTCGTTTGGAAGCGTAAGCTTCAATATTTGATTTAAGGAATGAATCCTGGCATCACCAACCAGCGATGGAAAGTGAAAGCCCTCCAAGAGTCTATCAGCTCCAACCCGATCCACACTCCTTTCTTCACCTTGACGGAAACCCACCTCAAGTCGTATCACTTAGATGCGGAGGTTCACATCCCAGGTTATACCGGCTACCGAGCGGAGCGTACCAGTCGAGCTTGTGGCGGAGCCGCTACCTATCTCCACAACTCCATCACAGCAGAAGAAACAAAGTCCTTCTCAAACTCCTACTGTGAACTTGTCGCCATCTACAGTAAAGAAGCTAACATCGTGATAGCGGGCATTTACCGGCCCCCTTCAGCTCCTTTTGACAAGTTTGATGAATGCCTCTCTACCCTCCAACAGTTCATCAAGACAGAGTTATCAGATCATGACATTGTGAGCTGCACTCTCCTCAATCCTGAACTCCTCCTCCCCTCGCAGACTCCGGAACGGCCAGTCTTCACCCCTCCTGCCTCCTTGATGACATTAACTTAAACTCTGCAGACTGGGATGCCATTAATGCAGAACTGGTAGAAGTAGACTGGGCTTCTATCACTGACCCAAGCAACGATCAGGATACAGCTTGGACATTGTTTGAAGACAAGGTAGCGTTCATATGCTCTAAGCACGCTCCCTCGCACAGCAGAAACATCCAAGTGTCATCACAATCCTCCATTCCCAAGCCCAGAAGAGAACTTATTCGTAAGATGTAGCGACCATGATGCTCCTGTACAAGTCCTACGTACGATCTCATCTGGAATACTGCTGTCCTCTGTGGTCTCCTCACATGCAGTGCGAAATTATTAAACTCGAAGCAGTTCAACGATCCTTCACTGCTAAAATCCAGGGTCTTGGAAATCTCAACTACTGGGAACGCCTCCGTCGCCTGTCTATGTACTCCCTTCAAAGGCGTCGTGAGAGATACACTATCATCCTAGTTTGGAAGATCTATAACAATCTTACTCCAAACAGTATGAACATCAACTTCCGCGAGACCTCACGATACGGAACTACGTGTATACGACCACTAGGGTCCTCCAAGTACACTAGTGTCAATAACCTGAGGTCAACTCCTTTGCCTCTAGAGCCTCTGCAGTCTGCACTGTACAACGTGGTCCCTCCTAGCATCAAGTCCATCCTAACCTTGACCGCTTTCAAACCTGCTCTTGATGCTTTCCTCAATGAATTCCCTGACACTCCACCATTCAACACCTGGGTACACTGGACAGAACAAGAACTCAATGCTGGAGTGGGCCGGTGGCACGTGCCTCTGAAGCGCTACTACTTGGCGGTGGATATGCAAGACATTCTTGGCCTGGTAGCACTCTAGCTCGGAACCCAACCCAAGTAAGTAAGTAATAATAAAGGGCCTTTAGTAGGAGTGCATACGCTAGGGTATTGTTTCTCCGTAGCTTTCAAACCTGCTCTTGATGCTTTCCTCAATGAATTCCCTGACACTCCACCATTCAACACCTGGGTACACTGGACAGAACAAGAACTCAATGCTGGAGTGGGCCGGTGGCACGTGCCTCTGACGCGCTACTACTTGGCGGTGGATATGCAAGACATTCTTGGCCTGGTAGCACTCTAGCTCGGAACCCAACCCAAGTAAGTAAGTAATAATAAAGGGCCTTTAGTAGGAGTGCATACGCTAGGGTATTGTTTCTCCGTAGCTTAGTGCACTAGATTCCCACTATAGGGATCGTGCACAAAGCCCAATTACGGTATCGTAGCACCCTGTCGCATGATTAGCGATTAGGTAATCATTGATTACCCAATCAATTTCGCTAACGAGATAAACGAATTGCTTGATGACTTCGTCATTTTCAGTCTGTTTCGCGTCAATATCTTTTCAGAATTCAGATCATATTCCGAATGTAATGGCCTATTGCAATGTGCAGTTAACAGCATGTTCGCAAACACGATTATGTTGATTACAAGACTCATGTGTAATGTGTATTAACTCACGGCACCCCCACTCCCCCTAAACTTGGAGGATATTTTGATTTATAAATGGTATTTAACGACCACGTTCATTCAAAACATCAGTTGCAACTGTTTAAAGTCAGGTTGTGGCAATGCTTGTTCAAGCAGAAAAGCAGGAATACATTGTGGATCAACCTGCCTCAAATGTCAGGACAATTGCACCAATGTGCCAGCTGAGGACTCATAAGTATCTAACTTATATATATGGTAATATAAAGTGCTGCTTCGATTTCCCAATCAATTTAATGAAAAATTGTTAATTATTCGTGTTATGCAATTTTAAAATATTTTGATCGAAAATAATTTTTATAATTTTCGAATATTTGTTAAATAATTGATTAACTGATTAATTAATTATCTAATCCAAAGGTTGGCGAATAAAAGTTGTTCTCTCTTATGTTATTGACACATCGGTTCAATCTACAACCTTCTACGACATTCAGAAGTCGTTTTATTAGCGGAGATCCAATGTGGTAAAAAGTGGTTATTCTTTACAAATTTCGAAAATTTATTTATGTCAAAAATATTGAAAGTGAAAATTTTCAAAAGTTTTATGAAAATTAGTTCATTGTACGTGTAATGTAATTGTGAACATTTTTTATGAAAATATATTTTTTAAATATTTGAAAATTTATTAATTATTTAATTAATTAATTAAATAATTTATTTTTGAAAAAGTTGTTAAATAAAAAGTTGTTCTCCTTTGTTTCCTAAACACACTGCTTTAAACTAGAATCTTCTAGGATATTCAGAACGTGACTTATTTGCGGAAAACCAAAGTGGTAAAAAGGTGGTAAAAAAGTGGTAATTGTGGATTTTGCTCAAGTCAGATTTTTTGGGACTTTTCTGGAATGATTCCTGGGACCTGTCCCGACCATATCCCGTTAAAATCGCTTTGTTGCGAATTTTGTCCGACAAAAAGACGGATTTGACTGTACTACCTGGTAGTGTCGTGTCTTTTCCTTCACCCTTCCGGACAATAAATCCCATGACAAAATTGTAACTGACTAATGACTATTGACGTTCAATCTTAAAGCTTCATATTATAATGAAATTAAGAAGAATAACATCTTCACGACTGTTGAAGATGTTCTCAAATCTGAGTTACTGAACAATGAACAATCCTTCAATATTAAAATGATGACATAATAACATGATGGCTGACCCCTCCTCCTTCAGGTACATGCGGTATTTGGAGAAGAAAGATGTGTCCCTGGTACATTCCATGATCCCTCTCGGGAGTTGCACTATGAAACTGAACGCTACCTCCGAACTGACTCCTATCTCCAAACCAGAGTTTGCTAACCTCCATCCCTTCGCTCCTGCTTATCAGACTCAGGGATACTTTGAACTAATTAAGGTACAGCTAACACCAGGACATTATGCTAGCAGTCATAATGCTAGCAGTCATAATGCTAGCAGACATTATGCTAACAGCTGGACAAATGCTAGCAGTCATAATGCTAGCAGTCATAATGCTAGCAGTTATTCATGGCAATTTCATGCCTTAAATGTTTCCTACATTCCACAGAGCCATATACAAGAAAATATTTATCAAACATGAAATCATTCACCTAAATTCGCATAGTTATACAACTAGAAAGCGTCGTGTCTCTATCGAATACAGTGGATAAGCAAAGTTTGTGAGCGATGGCCAGCTTTTACCTAGTGGCCACTAGACCTTTGAGCCCCGACCAGCCATCCTTTCTTAACAGAGCCTAGTCATTATAAGTTTGGTTATAATAAGCCAATCGATCGTAGTTCCTTAGCAAATTGGCTCTGTGAATGGAGGCTAAATGTCCCCGCTCATCAATTAGCATCTTGGATTACGCCCTTGACAATAATTAGCCTAGCCTGATATGTTAAAACTATAATTCGTCTTCAAGTTGTAGAACATTTATAACACTTACCTCGAACAGAACACTTGACCGTGCAACTGCTATTTTATAGGCAGCAAATATTTAACATGTGCGTAACGAATCGTCAAGCACGTGGACTGTAAAGTTGTAAATTCCACGATGTTTCGATATTATTCCTATGCAGCCCAGAATTCCCTCCTTCTCAATATTATACATTTACCATTCAACAATCATATAATAGCTCTAACTTCGAGTTATATTCTCAAATTCAATGACCCACGACACAAAAACCTACTTAAATCGGTAACATAATGCCAATTAATGTGACATTCATTTTACGTAATTATTTACCAGGAGCTGCACGACGATCTGTGTGAAGTAACAGGATACGATGCAGTCTCATTCCAGCCTAACAGTGGAGCACAGGGAGAATATGCTGGATTAATGGCTATCAGGGCGTATCAGCACGACGTCGGCCAAGGACACAGAGACGTCTGTCTGGTATGTTAATTATGTTAATTATGTTAATTATGTTAATTATGTTAATTATGTTAATTATGTTAATTATGTTAATTATGTTAATTATGTTAATTATGTTAATTATGTTAATTATGTTAATTATGTTAATTATGTTAATTATGTTAATTATGTTAATTATGTTAATTATGTTAATTATGTTAATTATGTTAATTATGTTAATTATGTTAATTATGTTAATTATGTTAATTATGTTAATTATGTTAATTATGTTAATTATGTTAATTATGTTAATTATGTTAATTATGTTAATTATGTTAATTATGTTAATTATGTTAATTATGTTAATTATGTTAATTATGTTAATTATGTTAATTATGTTAATTATGTTAATTATGTTAATTATGTTAATTATGTTAATTATGTTAATTATGTTAATTATGTTAATTATGTTAATTATGTCATCCTAATGTTACAGTTTGATATGATGTTTTCTGTTCCTTACCGTCGAGGAAATTGTGAGTTGTGTATGCGACAACGAGAGGATTCTTGTTAATATTCAAGTTAATCGAGTTGTTTACTACGTAAAGTGAGTTATTTCTCTGGAATGTTTTATTCGTTACTCTTTCATTCCCTCTATTTACAGTCCTTATTGTGTTAATTATTCCTAATTTTTAGGTTCCAGTAAGTGCCCATGGCACGAATCCAGCTAGCGCACAGATGGCAGGAATGACTGTAGTCGTTGTCAAGACAATGCCCAACGGAGAGATAGATATGGCTGACGTCAAAGAAAAGGTTACTATATAGAATAATCACCACTTGGCACTTTCCGGAAACATACGATAACGAGCATTCTAGTCGTTAAAAGTACGGCTGCCATGCACGTGCTATTTCTTGGCAACGTTTGAACGTTTGCTAGTAGTTCGTAGTAATGTAAGGCGCGGAAAAATATATTGTTGGTAGTTGTGCATCGTTAACGCGAGAAAACTCGCTGGTAAACATTTTTGTGCCGCGCACAGTTTATATTTTCATACGATGCCAGCCACATCATGACATAATTATTGGTGACTGTGAGGTGCTTCAGGTTGGTTAAATCATTCTAACTTTGGTATGTGTGCATGTTTTAATATCCCCCCATCGTATGAGATCCAATACTTATTGATGAAAAATCTTTCAGTGTGAGAAGTATAAAAAGAATCTGAGTTGCATCATGATAACGTACCCCTCAACTTACGGAGTCTTCGAACCTTCAGTCCGGTAATTAAGCTGTTTTTGTGCAGGAGAATTTGGGAAGTTTTCAGTAAAATAACCATGCTACCATGTGACTAGTTACACTTTTTGTATGTGTACGATATCTCTCAATTCACTAATTTATAACAATTTTATTCATAAGGGAATTATGCGAGACTATACACGACTATGGTGGCCAAGTCTATCTTGATGGAGCTAATATGAATGCCATGGTAAGAAATCTGTCAAGTTTCGATCATTCAGCTGCCTAATTAGAGAAATGCGGTCTGTCCGACCACTGTCAAAGTTCTTTCGATAACTGAATTTTCAATAATGTGATTGCTTTGAGGGTGATGTCACAATCAATGATACCAATAGTTTAAATTATGAAATAAATCACAATCTAGTTTTGTCTAGACACCCTATGAGTGTATATCATGATCATTTTAAGTTACAGTAACTTTTTCCAACATTTTTGTTAGAAATGCCAGTTTTATGAACTGATTTTACAACTGCTCAGGTTGGTGTTTGTAAACCTGGTAAGTTTGGAGCAGATGTTTCTCATCTGAACCTCCACAAGACTTTCTGTATTCCCCATGGTGGAGGCGGTCCGGGTGTTGGACCTATCGGAGTGTCAGTCTTTACTCTTTACACTTTTTACTTGATATTCTTACTTTCCATGTGTTTCCATGCCCGTCAGATTTGTATCATATCAGAACAATTTCATATTTTTCCTTCAGATTATGTGATTGTACTCAAAATACCCAATGTTTAAAATCGCTAACGCAAATCTTTCAGGAAAGCTCACTTGGCTCCCTTCCTGCCTGGACACGATGTCCAGCCTCCCATCGAGACTGACTACCCTGGTGCCAGACCCTTCGGACAGGTCTCAGCTGCCCCTTACGGCTCAGCCTTGATCCTGCCTATCTCCTGGGCTTACATTAAACTTATGGGAGCTGATGCACTGCGCTCTGCTACTCAGGTAACGGAACAGGTTGTAACTGTGTAGGGGGTTGTTTAAAACAAATAAGTGATACGACATTTTTATTAAGTAGGAGCTTTCAAAATACAATTATAAATCGTCTTCAGCTTCAGAAATAGTTGTAATCCTAACCCCCGCCTCCTCCTCGCTATTTAATAAACTTATTTAGATTACCAGCACCAGGGCCAAGTTGGCCAAAACAGGGATCTTGCCATCTGAATTATTTAAACATACCTATAATCACAGGTGGCCATTTTGAATGCCAACTACATGGCAAAGCGGCTAGAAGAACACTATCCTATCATGTTTAGAAACGATAATGGATTCTGTGCTCACGAGTTTATCCTGGATACACGAAACTTCCCGGGAACCACTGTAGGAGTCATGGACATTGCAAAACGACTTCAAGACTACGGTTCGTATTTTTTTCATTACTAAAAATAAAAGACCAAATAAGTTAAAAACTTTTGATCTAGAATAGAAATGAAACCATCATTCTGACGAAAAATAGAAATATAGCACAAATGAGTCTGTTCCTTGAGGACCTTGTATAAGAGGTTAAAAAGGGGTTTCGGAAAGAAATGACGTTTTGATGTTTTTTTTTGAAATTACCATTTTACCGCATTAGCATTAACCTTTAAATTTTGAAATGATTTGATTTATACCTATAGAAATATATAATAAGTATAGCAAGGTCTTAAACGGCAATTACATTTATTATATAATGGCCAATTACTCGAATGGTCCAGACTTTTAAAAATTTACTGCTCAATTTTATCTTCTGGCAACATCACGATACAATGATTGCGATTATCAATAGTAAACAATATAACATCATGGCTTTCGTAGCAGGTTTACTATAATACTGAAGCCAGGATCATTCTTCATCCCCTTTTATTTGTCTTTTATCGGTTATAATTATATGCCGCTAGCTAAGCCTGTCGGTTAGATAGACAACGACTGACAACAACGATTTAAAAAATAAATTTTCTATAATTTTATAGTTGGGGACGAAGTGAGAGTTTAAAACAAATAGTTGTCGACGTTTCGGTACACGCCTTTGTCATGGACGAGACGTTACAATAACTTCTTACATAGCTGAATAAATGTAATAGATTTTTAATGTTGTAATTAGTATAAAATTTATTGTCGACGTTTTAAACACTAAGTGGAGACTCTCACTTCGTCCCCAACTATCAAATTATATGATAGGCCCACTCATAAGAGCAACAAAATTACAATTAATTGTCTAGCTTTAAACATACGACTGAGAGGATTTATCTAATAAATAAAAGCTAGCCCCCCACCCACTAACAGCTAAAAGCTAACCCACCACCCCCTAATAGCTAAAAGCTAACCTCCCGCCCCCTAACAGCTAAAAGCTAACCCACCCCCCTAACAGCTAAAAGCTAACCCACCACCCCCTAACAGCTAACCCCCCGCCCCCTAACAGCTAAAAGCTAGCCCCCCACCCCCTAACAGCTAAAAGCTAACCCCCCCCCCCAACAGCTAAAAGCTGACCCCCCCTAACAGGTTTCCACGGGCCCACTACTAGCTGGCCGGTAGTTAACACACTTATGATAGAACCTACTGAGAGTGAAGACAAAGCCGAAATCGACCGCTTCTGTGATGCTTTGATTAGTTAGTGAAACCCTTTTTTATTTTATTTTGCTCCAACGGACTTTCAAGTTTTTACTCCTCAGCATTATTCTGCATATTACATTTAAGCATTAATTTTACTGAAGCTAACATGAATTGTTATATTTAGAATTGTGTTTAAGAGTTTAAATAGCTTCTCGCTAACTCTGTTTAAAAAAATGTAAAGCAGATTATAAAGAATATCTGTTAATTTATTACAGATCAACCAGTTGTAAAATCAGAAGTTAATACCTATTGAAGTAAAATTGAAAATGCTTGCTGTAGGAAAATATGTTATTTTAAATATCTTTAATTTTAGGTATCAGACAAGAGATACAGGAGATCCAAGATGGAACAGCAGATATTGACATGAACGTTGTAAAGAACTCCCCACATACCATGGAAGCAATTACCGGGGATATCTGGGACCGACCCTACTCTAGAAAGAAGGCTGCATTCCCTCTGGTGGGTGCAACTTCAAACACAAGGAAATATCTTTGATGTTTTATATTGAAAACTTATCTTCTCTTATTTAGTCCATGATAATACCTGATTAGCTATCATTAAACACACCAACAATCCATCTTATTAGTTATTCTACAACGCCCAGTTTCTAACCCAAACTGTCCCTAAGCCGTGGCTGACAAGCAGCAAGAAGATCTGGCCCGCCTGTGCACGTGTGGACGACGCGTACGGTGATCAACACGTGTTTTGCACGTGCCCTCCAATCGAAGCGTACTCTATTTCAGATCTTGAGACACCTCCAGTCCTGCAGTAATTTATGAAACGGTGTTTGTCGTTAGACTCTGCTCTAGGTTTTAGGACTCGATTTTGTGCTGGAAAGTTAAGAAAACTGATATTATTGGCACTGTGAACTTTATACAGTTGTAATCTGTGACCCGAAGTTTTTCAGTTGTAAAAGACTTATAGATTAAAGACCAATGCGGTCAAATTTTGTTGTGGAAAGAAAGTTTTTATTGTTATTCGGGGAACCGTCCCGCAGTATTTTTATATCAGTTAACTTAAAGATTTTGTTCGTATTCATACCACCCGTAACTTATATATACAATATAGTTTCAGTTGTTGATTTTTGGATTTTTACTGAAATTTTTATGTTATTCGTACTTATATGAAACTGTTGTTTAACTTATTTAACGATAAATACGATATGAAAACGATCATACACAAATTCCGATCAGGTACGGAAAGTATCATTTTTAATAAACTAAATTGAGACGGTATCTGGAGCCGATATCTGGAGCTGTAAATCCAAATAATGCAGTAATAATCCACAATCACTAATAACGTCACACACTGTGCCACATTTATTCACTTTAATGGCTAGTGAGGTATAAAGGGGGGCCCAAAAGGCCCCACACATATCGAAGATCCGAAAAGGGCCCTAGAAATCGGGGCCTTTTGGGGCATTTTGACCCTGACCACTATTTGATAGTGTTTATGGACCATAATCTCCATGTAAATACACTCAAATAAACATAAAAGTACTGTGCAAGTAGTCAGATAATATTATTAAAGCACTTAGCATATAGCATACTTGATGAAATTGAAGTTAATTCTAGGGCCCCAAAAGGCCCTACACATATCGAAAATCCAAAAAGGGCCCTAGAAATCGGGGCTTTTTGGGGCCTTTTGGGGCGTTGCCCCCCCCCCCCCCCCCCCTATAAAATTAATATGTAGGAACTGGAGTAGTGTGCTCGATCGTGTAATAAAATTAAAGATAAATGTTACTCGAGATGCGTTTGTTTCAGTTCTGAGTCCGTATAGTTTATGGAGTATGGTAGATTCAATTTCCACTGTTGATGGTAGCCATTCTTTGCCCTTTGAGCCTTTGGAATCACATCTCAAAAGGGTGAAAAAGTGTGTCGTCTTCATTCTGAAAAGCTGGATGCACTGGTGGAAGAGGCGCAAGCGGACATCAGATTTTAGATGCGCACGCGTGGAGATAATATGTACATACTCGTTGCGCCTCTTCCACAAGAGGTGCGCGCGGCGCACATTGTCACGCGGTTACAGTCTAATCTATGAATGTTATGAGAATATAATATGTCTTCAGTTGTGTTTCGACCGTTATCAGTGCGTGGTCCTTCCAGAGTTAGCATTCCCAATCCCTAATCTCTTCTAATTTGTGCCATTGCGAGATGTCTGATTTTTCACGGGTCTAATTTGTGATTACTGAATATTGTAACTATTTCAGTTTTACAGTCTTTGAAATTTAAACGTTTTTGTAAATTTCCTGCTAAGTCGCTAGAATGGATAATTGGTATTTGGTATCCCGCCAACTATGATTTATGAACAGGATTGAACATTTCTACAAGTGCACTGTGCACAGTGTCCAGCACTCGTCTGACAGCAGACAGCTGATCAGAGAGCCGTTAGATTGCACGATGTTGTGAGATCGAATCAAATAATTTGAACAGTCCTCATCGGGATCCTAAGATTGACCTATTTTATTGTGTGAATTGTGCGGAGAGAGCATGTGATGGACTATAATTCTATTTATGGAGCCTGATTAACAATTTACGATTCAGTGATTACTTTTCTCTGTAAATTCTCCTAATTCCGTTTCTTTGATCTCCGCTCTAATAACCAAACAACTTTTTTTGGGTCTTCAGATGATGAACCAAGCCCCGTGCACTAGCTACCTTCTCTTCATTTCGTTTCATTTCTGTTTGAACTTCACTGCTTGTGCTCTACACTTGAGAACGAGCACAGGGAGCCGCGATTATTCCATATAAGGGAATACGCAAAGCTTTTATAATGGCGATACTTTAATACTGTAGATTGCATGCATGGTCTGTTAGAGTTTCTTTCTCTCCCTCAGCTCTATACGTGCTCGTAGATTGTCGGGTCACGTGGGTCTTATCGTGAGCTGGAAATCCGTGATGGGAAATATTTTAATCTCTTATTTGTCTGCTATTTCGGAAATCCGTTTTAATTTGTGTGAGTTGCTATTTTGGATTTCCTCCGGAGGATTGGAGATTCGTATGCATGCCATACACTTTACATGGGGGGTTGCGTACGATTACGATACAGTTATTGATCTCAACGTCTTTTTATGTGGATTTATTCATTTATGCTCATATTTATTTCAAAGACATCGGACCATGAGTCGTGACAGATTCTTACAACTGAGGATAATTTGTTTACTCGTCTCTACTCGTCGTATAATGCGCATGACAAACACACAGTCACTCTTGCCCTCGTAAAATATGTAGTCAAAATTCCTAAACTCAAATCTGGAGATATGCAGGCCACCACCACCGCTTCCATGTGGTCACATTCTGCAACCTCTGTGCACGGGACTCCGGACACTCCGAACCTTCCGCTAGTTGACTCTCTGAAAGTAAAAACAGTCAGAATCCGTGTGATTCTTCCATTCGGCAAACATTGTCGAGTTCCGGCCACTCTTTTAACAGCGTGTAGTTGTTTTCATTTTTCACATGTTTTGTAATGTGCAGCCCGTTTCTTTTCCCCTACTTCGTTTTTAACCTCTGTAATTTCATTTTCCGTTCCCCCGTACTTTATTTTGCCCGTTACAATTAAATATTTGCTCCAGTTAATGCCGGTAATGTAATTTTCATCTTGATAAATCTAGTTTTTGGCGACTTCTTGACTAGCTTGTTAAACGTTTTAGAAACCCCACATATTCATTATTTTTTCTCGTAATCAATCCATGTTCATTCTTTTAATCTCATCTTCATAATCATTCCATACTCCTTTTAATCTTTACTTAATTATTTTATTTTCTGATTCTGAGTACGCTAATTGTTGTCCTTTAAATTCATAAATTAGCCCCGTCTTGGAGACTCCTTGGAGGGGGGATTCACGCAGGAACATTGTTATTGGTAGGTTGTTGGAACAGTCACAAGTTATTGAAAATCTGCACCGCCTGACCAGCTTCAATGGTATATGTACTGGATACAAGTTACGCTCAATATTTGTTTTGGTGTCAGTTCATAAAGTGTAGTTGGTAGTGTTCATGAAGTGTAGTTGTGCAGTGCCTGTGCAGCTTGTCTTTGATGACCGTTAATGTTTATTTAAAATGTGCTGTTGCTCATATTCACTTTATTGTTTACAATTTTATGTGTACACACGTTGTTCTTACGTATTTGCTTAAACATCTGCAAAACATTTATGTCGTGTTTTACTAAAAATAAAATATACTAATATACACATAAAATATACTTATATAATATATATCTTACCAAGTTTTTGTTGATGGAAGCTGTCATTACGAATGAACAGAATATTCATTCACATTATATGTATTGAATTGGAGAATCTTGATCATTTATGGTTCTCATCCTTTAACACTTAACGCTGATATTTATTAAGTTCTTCTTTTGAAACACATTTTTCCGTATTTTTGATAATTTTAAATAAATCGACCAACCATAAAGGAGAAATGAAAACAATACACTATTAGGATTTCAGATTAACAGCTAAGTAAATGCTTGATTCGACCAGTTATTATTCCTCATTCTAGTCGTTTTCATCCGCCATAATAGCATTGTGACATTGTTTTCCGATCTTTAATTAATTATAATACTATTGTTGGAATAGTCAGCTGTTGGATCTGTCAGGGTATATAAAGCAGACCTAAATAGAACGATTGTACCTCTTCTTCCAAAGTAGCACTGAAAACTCGTGAGGATGTGCCTCGAGTTTATTGAATTGGCAATCCTGCTTCTTATTCTTTTAATCAGGTTGACAGTCCAATCTTTTAAAAGTTCTGTAATTGCGGTCACAAAGAAATTCGTTCAGTTAACGAAAGTGTGAGCTGATCTCGTGGTCCCCACTATCTGGCAATGTTCCAAAACTCTGCCTCGTACGGGTTCCATGTCTACCTAACACAATACCTCACTTTCTCAGGGGACTGAGATTATTTGCTCAGCACATTTGTCACTTAGTTGCAAACATAAGTTCCCTCCAGCCACCTCTGTTATCCCCCACATCACCAACTCTTTTAGGTTCTGACATTCCCGCTTTTCAGATATTCCCGCCACATTCCTCCGTCCGCATTTGCCTGCATTGACTCATTATATTGAAATAGAAACTTATTTAATCCTCATTATGCTATTCACTTAACATTCCCCCCTCCACGCCAATTGGCGCTAAGCACCGCCTACCCCTGCTATGTTCAGTACGAGTTGCGGGCAGTGACCCCGCCTCCCTCACCTGAGTGGCCAGCTCTCCGCTGCTTGCCGGACAAAGCGGTTAGAATATTCTGGAACTGAGAGCTGGTTCATGTCCACAGCTGGCTGGTGGGCTGATATTGGGGAGGCGTGATGAGGTGGTGAGGCTGTGTGTTATGCGGTAAAACGTGGCGGAAACTGGCACCTGATTGAGAGATTTTGTCTTGTGAGCATCGGTTTTGGTATAAATTATAATTAGGCCAATCTGGTGGAGAATTGGTTGCGGAGTTATATCTAGTTTGTATCCCGACTCTGCAGCCCATCAAATCGGGTGATGTAGCCACCCAGGGTTGGTCATGGTTGCCTCGACAACAGGAACTGTGTTTTCCGTGCCACGTGGGTGTTTTCCTGTGCTCTGATTGGCTACTCCAAGGTGTTCCTTGTTGTGATTGGTGTTTGGTAGGGCGAGTGTTTTACAGTTCATATTGTGAGTGTACAGCTGCTCCAGTGTGTATAGTTTGCGTAACTGTTTACTCCCCAAAAGTGTTGTTTTGCTTTTTTGCTCAGGACATTGCTGCTAACTTCGGAGCAGAGTCTAGTAGTGATGAGCGAAATCAAGTTTTAATTATCAACATCATGTTCATACTCACAATGAATGTAATATGTATTAAAATGGTTTATCTTCAACTTCAGTACATTTAACATAAAGTCTAAGTTCTACAGAACCTATCCAGGAGTTCAGGGTTCATTCCAAAACCTGAATTGTCCTTCCAGCTCAAATTAACCCAAATTGTTTTCATTAAATTATCGTTTTTATCGTGTTACGTTACAAAAAAAATACAATTTTGAGGTTCTGCACGCTTTAGTAATCGAGCCCTTACTCTTATCTGCCTGATTTAATAAACTGTTATGTAAGGTAGCTACGTTATGCCTTTATATTATAACTTTATGATTTTATTGAATGTCACGCACAATGTATTCCTTGTACTCACTAGTATAGTCCTTTTATTAAGTATTTATCCTATTGCTTATTACAATCATAATGTCCATAATTGTTAATTATGATTGCTTGCTTTTTGTACGACAAAACATTTGACGCTGTCACTCTGTCACTCTGTCTTATAGCACGCGGCTGATGATTTGAAGCTCGACAATTTAGAGAACTGCATTATTGAAAGGAGGAGGTGAACTGCATTATTGAAAGGAGGAGGTGGGCAAGTATTATTGAAAGGAGGAGGTGGGCAAGTATTATTGAAAGGAGGAGGTGGTATTATGAATAAATACAGCACACGGTTAAGTTGTGACGTTGGGTGGCCCATATATAGCTACTACTTATGCAAATAGTGTTTAGTATGCTAATTCGTTACTATCAATATGGCAGTCAAATGCACTGGTAGTAATATTCGTTAACCATTTGTAATATTAATTGGTTCTCCTTATTGTTACTCCCCTTGCTATCATTATCATCCAACCCGCTATGTAGCATCTCTCCTATCTGCTCACAAGTATTTTCAAAGCAGGAAACAGGAAACATGTTTCTTTATCTCATCTTCTTATCGGATCCACATTGGCAAGTGTTTATTGAAGATAAAGCTGTCCTTGCTCTGGCACCGATATCATTCTCAACTTCTACTCATTTTATCACAGAAAATTAAAGGGTCTTCCTGCTCCAATAGCAATAAGTATCCTTATAGTATTTGATACCCTTATGTCTTCTAGCTAGTTTGCTAGTAATAGTACCCATCTCACTGAGATATCAATATAGGGGCGGCTAGACGGTATTACTCGCACATAATTAATACACATAATTAGTATATCAGATATTATTATTAGTAGCACCTGGTATTATATCGTTACTTACATATTAGCTAAAGCACTAAGTATCAACCATGTCTGGTGTCTGGTCACTAATATTATATTAGTGACCAGACGGTATTAATAATATATCTCCCCCCGCCAATAATATTCGTCCTGTATCAATCATAACGGTCAAGTTATATCATATATATATTATATATTATATATATATTTATATATAATTTATAGTCCTAGTCAACTAAGGCTTACGAGATACCACTGATAGTATGTACCCTACTATGGTACATTATAGAGGGGATAATAGTAATACGCATTATCAATAGGGTTATTGTTAGGATGCTACTTTTATTTCCCTGTTTTTATTGAGGGATATTTTTGATAGCCTCGCCGAACAATTTCAATTCATCTAGAAAGAAAGTCCATTCAAATATTGTATGATTCCATTATTAATACATCAGAT